ATTTTCCAGGAGGCATGTGACTTTTTCTTGTGTTAGTTGTTTTTGCTTTGAGGATCACCTTGTTCCTCTAGATGAGGAATAAACATTTGAAGGCAGAATAAACATTTCTGCCTTCAAACTAAGGGCTGCTGCAGCCCAACTCAATGCAACAGTAAATGCTGCAGCACACAGAATCACAGAATGGTTGAAACTGAAAGGGACTTCTGGAGGTTGTCTTGTCCAAACCCTCAGCTCAGGCAGGAGAGTGTGAAGCAGGCTGCCCAGGACCATGATCCATGAAGAGTATGGTGTTAAGTCACAACTTCCCCGATCTCTACAAGGGTCCTCAACCATAAGCCTGAGTCTCTGCATGAGGTTTGCAGACAACTTGCTTTCTGAAAAACAAGGGTAGGACAGGTATGATGAGTGACTTTTTAACTCTAGGTGATCATTAAAGTAGTTACTATATGGAAACTGCTAATTTAATGCTTCCTGTTGTCTTACTATTTCTCTTTAGATAGCCTGTTGCCTGCTCATCACATTTGAGGCTTAAACAAAGTTACGCACCGAATTCCAGGTTTAGACAGCAACATGACTGGTTTAAATATTCACAAATCATAAGCAGTTATTGCTCCCGCAGATGCCCTCTTTCACCAATGCCACTGTAATTTCAAGTTTCTAGATAAAGATTTTGTTGCCTTTCACAACGTACTTAAATTTTAGAAATATTGGCCCGAGACAGCGTTTCCAGCATTACTGTCTCTGCCGTCTGTTGGCTTTCCCAGTACGCAGTGTGTTGTAACAGCCTTTCTTTTCCTGCTAAGCTGTTATTTCATGACCAGAATTATGGAATTCATTATGAATACACCATTCCTGTAAACTACACTGCTGAAAACAGAAGCGAGCCAGAAAAGCAACAGGATTCTTTGTACATCTGGACACACAGCGGATGGGAAGGGTGCAGTGTGCAGTGTGGAGGAGGTAAGGCCATTTGGAAGCTTGGTGGGATTTGCTGTACGGTGTTTACAGACATCAGCCGTTAGAGAGGTGCCTGCAGAAGACAGTGTTGCCAAAGCATGAAGGAAACTGGCCATGGGAATGGATGTCGCCATAATGAACTCAAATGAGAGCTCGTTCTCACCAGCTCTCCCAGCTATCATCTACATCCCCACAGTTAATTTTCACCCAGCATTTTGGCAGGGACACTGCTTTGTCGGCTCGTTACCGTAGGCTGGAGCTGCACCTGGATTAGTGCTCCACGGATGGCTCAAGGCACCGTGTGCAGCCCCATATCTCAAACCTCCGTCACATTCTTGGAGCGCAGTTTTCACAGATGTTCAGGCATGTTCACTGAAAGACACTTCCTTCCCCGGGGATGAAACGGGGGCAGTGCTGCTGTGACAAACTCCTGCAGATTGCATCAGACACTCTTAATGTGGGGTGGACTTTCTGGGAGTGCATGAGCACGTTGCAGATCTCACTTTTCAGATGATCCCTGGGATGTGCTGAGACAGATCTGCTGAAAGCCTGGGGGGAATTGATGCCTGTGAAACCAGAGACCAGTTTGTCAGCCACTGTCCATTGAATTTTCAGTGCTGGGAGAAGTAGGTTTTTCCCTGAGGAAAATGAATCATTTCCATGCATTCTGGCCAGTCTTTCTTCACCAGGAGACCTAATTATTTATCATGTTATACGACACAAAGAAAGAGTGGTCATCTTCACATTTGAAGGCTCACTGCCCTCAGCGTACTGAAATAATGGATTTTTTTTCCTATAAATAGAACTCATTTTAAAATGGACGCTTACTTTTACTCATGTTTTAAAACAATAATTTCTTAGAGCTATTAAACTCTCACATGAATGAGTAGGAAATTTGTTTCTGGCTCTTTTGTTTTGTGTTGCAAGCCTGCCACATTTGAATCAAATCAGTACCTGGCAACATGGCTCCCACCAGCAGTAGCTTGGATGGCAACTGGTCTCATATCTTTTGTCAGATACTTTTACTACTTATCCAAGCTGGGAATGGCGTTTTCCCTTTTGACACAGACTTTTACAATTTTTTTTTATTAATAGAATTTGAGTTATTTTTTATTATCTGCTGAGATCATGAATAAACTCAATTTGATGCAGACTCAGGGTTAAGAAGAGGATCCAAGAAACCAAAATAATTAGCAGCAAGGCAAAGTCACGTGGTGCAGGGATGGCATTTTCCTTGTCACATCTGGTCATTGTTATGCCGCCTTGTGGCACAGCTTTCCCGATGTCACACAGTAGAAGACTGAACCCTGAGTGCCACGCTGCTGCGCTGAAACTCCTGATGCACAGGCAGTTTATGTGAGAAATGCTGACTACTCCTGAGATACCTCCTACTGGCAGGGCTTTTGAAGTAGTGTATCTGGAGGGCCAGAAGAAGAGAAATAATTTATTTTGGTGGCTTAATTTCACCTCTTTGTGAAATATGAACAAGCCTGGTTTATCACTCTTGAACCCCGGTCACTCCTGTTCAGCCTGACTCTTCCTGAATTGGGCAGCAGCAAGAGGCAGCTATCCTGTCATTATCAGTCCCTGAGGGGTGGATGGTTGGGTGGCTTCAGCTTACATAGCTGGAGCATCTGTCCTAGGTGATTACAGGGCACAGCTACACATGGAGGAGGAACCAGAAATGAAAGCAAATTGTTTTCAAGATTGTTTCCACCTTAAACACTAGAAGGAGAAAGCCCAACATGTTGTTCCTGTGAAGCAGTCAATTTCACTATTATTGGGGAAAGATTTATAGCTTTTTGGAAAAAAAAAAAATAAAAAAGCCAACAACAGTACAAAGGTAAGACAGAAGTAGGAAATAAGATTGCTTGCAGAGATAGGAGGTCTGTGTGGATTACATCTTGTAGAAGTAGTAGGGAGCTCCTAGCTTTTGATTTTTGGATAACAAGTTGACATGGTTTTGTTCTTAGCCACTGGTTTCTTTTTTCAGAGTTGTTTTTTATTTGACTTGTAGGTGAACGGAAAACCATTGTGTCCTGTACTCGAATTATTAACAAGACCATGACACTGGTGAACGACAGCGACTGCCAACGAGTGAATCGCCCTGAGCCCCAGGTCAGGAAATGTAACACACACCCCTGCCAGTCACGGTAAGGAGTTAAAAAATCATAAACCCCAGTATCCTTTTCCTTCACAAATCGCCCATTTCCATAGCCTCCATCTGGTAAACATGGTGAAAATGTCTAAAAGTATTGTGACACATTGTTAGCCATAGTAACCAGCTGTAACATTCATTTCATTTTGTTGAGCAGTCAGGTTTTCTTTACCTCAGAGTCCTTTTAATTTGTGGCCAGTAAGGCCGGATTCCATGCAAGCTGCCTTCTTGCATTGTTTGAGGCTGGTTTTCTTTTCCCCTTGGCTGCCTCCTGGGTGACAGAGCAACTTGCAGTATAAATCTAGACAAAAGCACAGTGACTGCATATCTAACCTTTTTATTTTTTTGAATGAGCACACAGTAGGGTCTAATTAATTGTCAAAACAGTGCTACAAAAAACCTCGCAAACAACTCTCAGCCTTTAAGCTACTATAGCTGACCTGCTGTGTTGTGGGCTTGATCTGTATTAGCATAGTTCAGACTGGGAGTCTCCAGGCAAGGAGTGTCTCCTCTTCATGTGAAGTTTGTGCAGTGTCTAGTATTTGGAAACATACCTGAATCTTGCTGGAGTCAAGAAATTATGATGAAACAATATTTTAGATGCTTTCCTCAGTAAGGGTGCTTTTCTGCATCAGAAGGAGTAATTAGGATCTAATAGTAAAAAGTTCTAAAAATAATAAAAAGCTTTGTTTTTAATTTGGCAGGCACTTTTAGCTGAATTACTTTTTATCTTCATTATATATAAAAAAAAGATGTTTCTGTCCAAAGGAAGGCAAATTAATTTGTTCAGTTTGTTTGCTAATGAAAAAGTTCACTTTTGCTTTGCATTAATGTTTAGCATTGTGGAGTAGTGTAGATGCTCCACTTTTCATAGTAGTTAAAATCAGTTTAGAGTAAAGCTCAACAATATCTAAAAAAGCATATTCAAAACAACCTGCTAGCTGTTGCATCTTGTATAATCAGACAAGCCAGGGAAACGTACCCACAAAGCTAATCCTGCTGGCAGAAACAATAGGGAAAATGAGAAACAGACCACTTCCTTCTAATTAGACCTGCTCTCTGATTAAAGTGCCCTGAAGCAGGGAAATCCAGTGTCAGGAAATCCATCAATAAGGCCAGGCTGTTTCAGGTTTTGTCTGTGCTGCCTGTTATTGCTGCTGTACAATATTGTGGCCATACTGCTTTCAGTGGTATGGAAAGTTATAAGGAGATACCCCATGTGCTACTAGGTGTGTAGGAGAGCCAAACTCCCAATGACTTCAAGGAAACGACTGTCATTTCCATGAGGAAGTTTGCTAAATTCAGTGCATCTGAAGCATCTGCTTGTTTTTCTGCCCTGGCATGAAATATTTTGTGCAAATCTTTGGTGAAGCCATTGGGAGGAGACTGGAGTGAGCCCAGGCAGGTATATGCAGGAGTTCCAGGTGGTAGAGGTGGAGAAGAGCAGCTTACAGAGCTCTGGAAGAAGTGGGCAGCTTCTGCCTCTGCTAGCTGAGAGTAACAAAGGGAGGTCCTGGTCATCAGGTCTTCTAGAGCCATAAGACCCACAGTGCTGTTTCTCAGTGGGAAACATGACCCTGAGCCCTTGGTGAAGTCTCCTTTTCGTTGCATACTTCCATCATGACATTGCTGCCTGTCCAGGGCAGTGACAGTGGGTTAGGTTAAATCACACAAAACCTCCTGAGAAAAGAGTACTCTGTTCCTATGTCCAGATTGTTTTCTTTTATGGATTCAGGTCCGGTCCTTAATGTTATTCCAAGGTATCTCTTCTTCTGTATGGAGATAGCAGGCAATTTATAGCCGTAATTTGGTGCAGTTGTCCCCAGGAGCAGTTAGCACTGGCACAGTGATACTCTCATCGGTCCATTTTTTGTCAGAGCAATGACAGGAAACACCAAACATGCTTAGTACCCGGAAAGGCCACAAAATCCGTGCTGATGATCTGATAGACCACACTCCCTCACTCCCTCCGTGTAGACCACACTTTCACACTTAACATGCTTTTGACTGGAAACATTTTCAGAAGCACATTCTCTGTGCCTCTGTAGAATTTAAATTTCCACTTGCGTTTGCCCACCCAGATATTAGAAATGCATGCTTAGCATATTCTCTGACCAAGAACATCTTAAGGAAACCATTCTCTTTCACCATGTCAATGCTTTTTTTATGAGCCCTGAATTTGTTTTAGGGTTTCAAGTAAAATTATTGTAGCATCTTGTTACAATAAGGTCCTTTCCCGTTCCTACTCAGACCTAAGCCCTTTACCTGAGTGTAGAAGAAGGAACAATGCTTTCCTTTCTGTAGTAAACCTGCTCTGTTTTGTGTGCTTTGATCTACATTTACACTTTTACTCAAAATTTCCAAGAATCACTGTATAGAGAATTTATTCCTAGGGAAGAGTCTTAGGGCCAGCACAGGACTGGGTCATAGGACACTCAGTCTCTATTTCTCTTTTGCACGTGCTGTGTGGCTTTAATTCACTGTCCCACACTGTCCCTTTGCTTCCACTCTGAATCCATGTGTAATCTGGATTGCATACTCTTTGGGATGGGGTGAGATCATGTTGTATAAATGGAGGAAGAGGAGGAGGCTATTGCTGTTGAGACTGTAATAAAAATAATAAAAAAAATAACCCACTTTATATATATAAAGTGATCTGGAGGAAAAAAAAGGTATGATATTAATAACAGTGTCTTTCTTCCAGCACGATCCCAAAGTGCTTTGCAAATTATATATCCCTTTGAACTTCAGCCACCTCTTGGGAGAGCCAAATAACGTGGGGCAGGGGACAGTAGTTTCATGAGGCCAAGGAGAAGATTAGAGCTCTGCAACTGCAACCCAGCATCTGAAAAATATGAAGCGGGATTGAAAAAAGGATTGGATACACTGACATGTTTTAAAATTAAACGTCAGAGAAGAGAATTTTCTTAAGGGTTTTGTTGAAACTGGCAAAAATAAAAGAATCTTTCATTCTTTATTATTGTTACTCTTTCACCTTTTAAAAAAATGCCTCTTTTTCTTCCTATTTTATTTTTTATGTTCCTTGACCCTCTTTTTCCATTAAATTCTTTACAGCTTCCTTTCCTGTCCCAACTGCACCCTATTAGCACCTCTTTATTCTAATCCTTTGCCTAGCTCTTTAGATATTTTTTACAAAACCCTGCTGTAACCAGATGGAATCTGGATTCTTGCATGCGGTGCGTATGAGTTGTTTCCAGCACACTGAACACCAACCCAAATATATAGGCAAACCCAGCACTCATGTTGGCACAAGACTCAGAAATCACAGATCACATCAGCTGTTATTACTGAAAACATGGGTCGGCCAGTGGCCACACACTTCAACATGCATGGTTGGGTCTATGAATATGAAACTGCTCCCCTCTAATGCAGGAAAAGAACCAAAAACACATGAAATTTCCCAACTGTTAGACTTGTAATGGCCTGTATGCAAACACTGTTAATTTTCCTCCTCTTTGCTGTAATAGATTTTAATAGAGCTTGAGTTCTCTCAGGGACCTGCCGAATATGTGGTGTTCCTAGATCGATGCTTAACAGCAGCAAAAAAGCCAGAAATCCCTGCTGTCATCTGCAGAAAACCACAGGAGACCTGAGCCATTATTTTCACTGTTTAGAACTTGAAAATATCTCCTGAGCCCAAGGGTTAGTTTTCTGCTACTACCAGCAGCGTGTCATAGACTCCTTTCTGATTTTGCTCCACAGTCTCCTCCTTCCCTCACTGGAAGGCTCCTCCGCGACCTTTTTGCTCATGTAGGTCAAGATCTTCTATTTCCAGCCTTAATTGTTCATTGTCATGTTTCAGCCATTTGTTCTTGCATCAGCTCTCGTCCTTTGCTTATCCAGTATTTTCCCTCCCTAGCTCTTTGCCTTGGGCCAAGTGCCATATGATACAGCAAACCAGCGTATCTTCTCCTTCCATCATTTTGCTGTGTTAAATCTATTACTTTTCCTTAACTTCTTATTGGATCAGAGACTGTGCATCTGTTCTTCATTACCTTGGTCACCTTGGTCATCTTCCCTACTGGTGCTCTATTTGATATTATTTAAATTCATAATTTGAGTGCACAGGTGACCAGGATTATGTGGAGAATCCCAGTCACGGTCCAATCTATCACTTACCTAGTTACATCCATACTCTCCTGTCTTCATTGGCTGTAACTCTTCTGATACATGCTTTGCTTTTTTCATGACTGCATCTGATTTGTGGCTTACAGGCATTCTAGATGTTTTCTTTCTCATTTGTTTCAACGTATGAATCCTACTTTGACACAGAAATGCTTGTTATTAGTCCCTAAGCACACAACCTTGCACTGTATGCTATTAATTTTCATCCTATCTCTGTTATTGCAGTACTCAAGGTTATTCAGTTCTTCCTGTATGACATCCTAATCCTCTGTTGCGTTGACAATGCTTCTAGACTTTGTATTGTCAGCATTTTCCCCAATTTTTCAGCAGTTTCCTTCTTTTTGTGCCAAGGTCATTAATGAACATACTAAATTAGATCAAATGCAAGACAGATCTTTCAGAAAGTCCACTGGTAACTAATCTAAATTCCTTTCATACCTGATATTCCTTTACAGCTCTCATCTACCATACGATTTGCACATTGATATCCATGTTTCCTAACGTATGACCAGTTTCTCCAACTTATGTAAGCATTTCCAGTGCAGCAAAAGGAGTCCTGTACTGATAACCAAATAGATTAAATCTACCACATTTCCTTTGTCTGGAAAAGCAGTTATTTTAATCAAAGAAATATCGCCAGTGAGTTTTGCCTGGAGGAAACCTATGTAGCGTCCATTTACCACTATGTCCTTGATTATTGTTTCCTTCCAAATCCGCTCTAAAAAATGGCATGCTGCTGAGGTCAGGTCTGTGGTTACATGGATTGCTTCTTTCTTTCTTTTTTCTATTCCCCTTAACACTTCTCCATTTGGTCACTGAAAACCAACACCGTGCTCTCCAAGGGCTCAC